TTTTCAAAATTACTTTCACCATTACTCTGTTTGGTTCTCTCTGAGTCTTGTAAGCTCGGTCATCTTCCTCAATCCTTTTCGGAAGCATGTATCACTCTTTTAGCCAAAAAGGGGAAAAGATGCAACGAGATGCTCTTCATACAGACCCATATCTCTTCTCAACACAGATGCCAAGGTCCTGGCAAAAGTATTGGCTCACAGGCTGGAGAATCTCCTTCCTACCATCATTTCTAATGACCAGACCGGTTTTATCAAAAACAGGCAATCATATTTCAATATTAGACGTCTTTTTGACATCATCTACACTGCCCAGGAAAACCCGCCCGAGTGTGTCGTCTCTATTGATGCAGAGAAGGCCTTCGATCGGGTTGAGTGGCCTTATCTGTTCGCCGTGCTGGGAAAATTTGGATTTGGACCCTCGTTCATCTCATGGATCAGATTGCTCTACGCTTGTCCCACTGCTATGATCCGTACAAATTCACAACTATCTAGTCCCTTTAGATTATACCGTGGTACACGTCAAGGGTGCCCATTGAGCCCCATGCTTTTTGATTTGGCTATAGAACCACTCGCCATAGCACTCCGTACATCCAACAATATCACTGGAATTTGTAGGGGGGGTGTGGAACACAGAGTTTCCCTTTACGCAGACGACCTCTTGCTCTATGTTTCAAACCCAAGCGAGACTGTCCCTTCTGTTCTTGGCTTACTAAATCACTTTGGCACCTTCTCAGGCTACAAATTGAACATTGACAAAAGTGAACTGTTTCCTATTAATGACAGTGCACAGGTTCTAGATTATTCTAATTTCAATTTCAAAGTTGAATGTGAAAAGTTTTCTTACCTCGGGGTGACTGTTACCAAAAAGTACAAAGACTTATTCAAAGAAAATGTTGCCATCCAATTGAATCAAACCAAACAACTTATGTCACAATGGTCTCCCTTATCAATGTCGTTGGTGGGTCGTGTCAATTCTATCAAAATGATAATTTTACCAAAATTTCTTTACCTTTTTCAATCCTTGCCCATTTTTATCCCTCAGGCTTTTTTTCAGCAGTTGGACTCACTCATTACCTCATATGTTTGGCAGGGCAAGCGACCACGCTTGAGCAAGATCCATCTTCAAAAATCAAAATTTAGTGGGGGTCTTGCATTGCCAAATTTTCAGTTTTATTATTGGGCGGCCCATCTGAGGTGTCTGGTGCACTGGTCGTATTATTACAGCCAACCGGAATGTTCCAACTGGGTTGCTCTGGAGCTTTGTGCACAGAAACTTTCTCCTATGTCCTCAGTGGGCTCAGCCTTACCTCTGCCCCCACTACTCTATTTGACAACCCAGTGGTCAAACACACACTGAAGATCTGGGGCCAATTCAGAAGACATTTTGGACTCAAAGGTTTCTCATTGTGGAGCCCTATTCTTAACAATATTCTTTTCAAACCATCAATTATGGACATTGGTTTTCAGGTATGGCATAGACATGGGGCCAAACGCTTTAAAGATTTGTTCATGGATGGCACTATGGCGTCATTTGGGCAGCTGAAAGATAAATTTAATCTCTCTCATTCAGATTTTTTTCGATATCTTCAGTTGCGACACTTTCTTGAACAGCACTTGTCAAACACTCCTGAAGCTGCACAAACTCTAACTGTAAACACAATTTTAGCACTGAAACCATCAAAAGGCCTCATTTCTAAATTGTATAATATGATGCTCGATCACAAGATCCCACTGACAGACACTATTAGAGGAGCTTGGGAGGTTGATTTGGGTCTTACCATAACTGACGATGCCTGGCGGTCTGCCCTCAAACTAGTGCACTCATCCTCACTCTGTGCTCGACATCACTTGATTCAATTTAAAGTAGTTCATAGAGCACACCTTTCAAAGGCAAGGCTGTCCATTATGTATCCAGATGTGAGCCCTCTATGCACCAGGTGTAATCTGAGTGAGGCCTCTTTGGGCCACATGTTTTGGTCTTGCTCACAATTGCACAACTTTTGGAGATACATTTTCAACACTCTGTCGCAAGTATTCTGTGTCAGACTAGAACCAAATCCAGTATCAGCACTTTTTGGGGTATTTGAGGACCATGTACATCTCACTGTTGTTAAAAGAAATTCTCTAGCTTTCACTCTACTTCTGGCGCGTCGAGCCATACTACTCAAATGGAAAGATGCTACTCCCCCTTCCCATTCACAGTGGCTACAGGATGTTTTGTCCTGTCTAAAACTTGAAAAACTAAGATTCTCACTCAATCAAGCCTCTAATGCCTTTGACGATATATGGGGAAATTTTCTACGGCATTATCCGGCCCTCTAACAGTATACTGCAGCGTTAATTGTTAAACCTGGTGTAAATAGTTTGTAGCGATGACAGGGTGGGTGGGATTCTTTTGGGTGTTCTTTTTCTTTAAATTTTATTTGTAACCATTTTATTTTACATATTCTCATGTTATAACTATCCTGAAGTGAAACACTCACATTATGACAATCTGCCAACTGTTAGTCTTATTGAAATGTTGTGAGCTTGTTTTTGACATGTATGTATAATTATACTTTGAAAACAATAAAAAACATTTGATTTAAACATTGTCAGAGAAGAAGCCTGTCTCACATTTGGTTCAGGAAGATTTTAGCTGCATGAATCTGCAATGTAGCCTCCCCAGGTTTAATTCTGACTCCAGGCACTAGCAGGAGGCCAGTCCCTGTGCTTCTCAGTCCGAGTTGGTTCATATGGCATATAACATGTCAGATGAGACCTGGGGACTGGGTTGTCACTAGATCATACTTGGAATCGGGACGGAAGGGAAGTAACAATCCTACAATCGAATTAGTAGACTAATAAGTCCTTAAGGGATGAATGGTTAAGTTTTAGGTGTCTGAGTAAGATGGTTAAGGTTGGAGTCAATGGTGGGTTGGGGTTATTCTATGGAAATGGCTGGTTGAGTTTAGGAATGAATCTCGCTGGTTTTATATTTATACCTATTTATTATTATATTTACTTCTGCTTCGGTCCCGATTCTGTATATGATCTAGTGCTGACCCTGGGTACTGGACTAATGTGATCATACTTCCTAGTTCTAGTCAGGGCTCGAGCTGCAGCTGGATCAGTAGACACATTAAAGGTAAAGGTGCACTTCATTGATCCCCGTAGGACAATTCAATCCTCTTCATTTGACCCATCCAGATGCCACTAAGGCTTAAGTCAGGAGCAGTGGTCGCCGTAGTAACAGCGCCCATGAACCCATCTCCAGATGTTGATGCTCGGTTTGGTCACGACCGGAGCTGGAGGATTTAACCTGAGCATGATTTGATTTGTGAGCATGTTTCTAGTAATCGATTAATTGTTTTTTTGAGTCGTACATAGATGATCAGAGGAGGTTTTATGACTATGGTATTTTTCATCAAGCAACCAAATGTGATCCGTGCTTTGGGATCTACAAAATGTATTTAATTGACAAAATAATCGTTAATTACAGCCCTAGTATAAATGAAATATATAGTGTAATGTATAGAAGCTCAAAAAGTCTTTCTTATCCAACACTGTTAGTTTGTATAGACTCTATAGAGAATACACAGCCATCCATCCATCCATTTTCTTCCCCTTAATCCATTTCTGGGTCTGGGGCAGTCAGAGCTGCACCCAGTCCACAGAGCACCAGCCCCTCACTGATGCTCCTGCAGGTGGTGAGTCCACAGTAGTCTTGATCTTTCCGCGGGGGCTTCAGGCAAAGTGGGGTTAAGTGTCTTGCCCAAGGACACAACAACAGCAGACATCAGTGGGAGTCATGAAGTAGGTCTTGAGGTGGGCTCGAACCCACAACCTTCAGGCTGAAAGGCCAATGCTCTACCATCTGAGCCACTGAGACACAGCCATTATAAAGATACACTATCCTTCATGTGTTTGTTATTATTGCATTTCCTGTGTTTGAACGGTTTAATTCTCTGATCTGTGTTGGTGAATCAACAACTTTGTCAAGTCCTCTGAGATTACTGCTGTTGTGATTTAGGACGGTACACAGATACATTGAATTGACTTGAATGATCTATTTATTCAGTGGACATGGAGTCTCGGAAATAAACAGCACCAGATGTGTCTGTTTGAAATTACACTTACTGTTGCAGAGTGATCACAATGTTATATTTTGGTCTTGGTACTATGCAATCAAAACTAAACATGTTACACACAGTGACTTAGATTTTTGTTCTTGATTCTTTTGATTTTGATTTTATTTTATTGAGTAAAGAGTTACGGTTCATTTATCTTGTGCTGTGTGCTCCTCATTCCTACTGTTCTGTAACTGTTCTGTGAGACGAATAAATAATCCCTTACTTTTAATCTTAACCAGGACTCTTCAGATGTTTTAGGATTGTAGATGTCATGGTGTGGATTTTGTTATTTTGTACTTTGGTTTTATTTTGACATTTGTTCTCTGCGGTTTGGTTCTATTTGTACTTCCTGTCTTGTACGCCTGTCTTGATTGTCTGCCCCGCCCTAATGTGTTTCACCTGTGTCCCTCTGGGCCTATGTGCCCTGTGCTTCTCTCCCCTTGTTGGTGGTCCATTGTTTTGTCAACATCTGTCCTGTACGGTCTTGTTTTCCTGGTTCCTGTTTGGATTTTTTGAGTTTGTTTGTCTCTGGACTTTTACCATCATTAAATCCTAATTTTTCCTGCATTCCTGCATCATTCCACCACGTGACAGTAAAAACAAAAAAATACAGACAGGGATGAAGGGAGAGCAAACTTTTTATTGACATGAAACTCTTTCTTAATACAGATGTTTTGTGCAAACTTTCCCCCGCTACATGTTATGTTTAATCCAAGAAATAAATATTAATTTATAAAACCCTTAACAATAAATATGGGCTTTCATTCAATAAATATACATTATTTTAAGAAACAAAACTGTACTTGACATGATGTGAAGTACCTAAAACCTCGACCTTAGAAAGACAAATGAAAGATGAAATGAAGAAGAAGAATGTGATTTTTGAGGCTAGACGACGTCCGAGCCACAGGGGCACCCGAAGCGGACCTTGTAGTTGAGGCAGCGGCGTCCAGTTTGGTCTCGGTTGCGGCAAACAAATCCCTCTGTTAAACTGAATCTAAAATGGTGAGAGAAAAAGAGTTTTGTGAAATTAGACGTCTATTAGACGTCTCCAGCACTTTGAATTGCCTTGTGTATGAATTGTGCTATATAAATAAACTTGCCTTGCCTATTGATTTACAATACATTATAGTCCAAACATATGATCCCTGCGCTGACAAAATTTAAAACAAACAAAACGGAAAAGCTACATCCATCCATCCATCCATTTTCTTCCCTTTAATCCATTTCTGGGTCAGGGGGGTGGCAATCAGAGCTGCCACCCAAGTCTCATAGCACCAGCCCCTCACTGACCCTCTGCAGGTGGTGAGTCCACAGGAGGACGGCTGCTCTCTGAGTGAGAGCATAGCCTTGATCTTTCAGTGGGAGCTTTGGGCAAAGTGGGGTTAAGTGTCTTGCCCAAGGACACAACGACAGCAGTCATCAGTGGGAGTCGGTGGAGAAGGTGCAGAGGTGGGAATTGAACCCACGACCTTCTGGCCTTAAGGCCAATGCTCTACCAACTGAGTTACTGTCGCCCCCAGGAAAAGCTGGGGAAAAGCTGGGGAAAAGCTACATGTGACAGATAAGGTCAGCACTCACTACGTTTATGAGATATTTTATATATTTTTATTTTATTATTGTTTTCTTGACATTGTATTCCTAGTTCTTCAGTTAAAATACTGTATGAGCGGTTATGTTATGTTTGGTCTACTTTTCAAAGAGCAGACTTGTCTCCAGTATGTTAGACTACTGTAACAAGATGTAAAACAGCTGCAGTATGTTCAAAACTCTGCAGGACTAATGTGATGGAACCAGGAAGTACCATCACATTAGTCCTGGTCTCAGGTCTCTGCTTCCTGTGGCTCAGAGAAAATACTGTTTGTTACAAGTCTCTCCATGGCCTCGCACCAAAGTACAAGTTTGTCCCATATGAACCAACTCTGAGGAACACAGGGACTGGCCTCCTGCTGGTGCCCAGAGTCAGGACTAAACATGTGGAGGATTTATGAGGCTAAAATCTGAACAAGTTTCTACTCTGGTAATGTTCAAATCCAGGTTGAAACAGCTGCATTCAACTGAAGGATTGTATCTTCACTCTTTGCCTGTACTGTGACTATTCATGAATGAATGAATGAAATATTTATTTCAAAACCTGCACACATAATTTTACAGAAAACAAAACAAAAGCAAAAACACGTACAGGGATTGAAAAGGGGTTGGAGGAAGCAGAATGCTTATATTAATCCAACCACCCTCACCCAGACTCACAGGACAATCAGTAAGACGGAAACAATACCATGCTGGGTAAAAACACATAATACAAATGTTTACTGTACAGTACATACAGTAAGAACAATACAACATCTACCACCAATGGTATGGGACAAGACAACTCACTCACACGCACACACACACACTCACACACACAGGCCCAAACCCTCCCTGACCATACACCTCTCTCCTCCAACTGCTCAGTGCTGAGGGCATCAATCTCTTTCCTCCTTGTACTTCTTCATTATTTCTTTTTTAAAAACTCTTTTAAATAGAATCAGGTTTGGACACGTTTTAATTTCATCAGATAGACTGTTCCACAGAGTAACTCCACACACGGAGATACACATTGATTTTAAAGTCGTTCTAAATTTAGGTAAGTACAGTTGTTTGTTTCCTCTTAGTTGATACTGATGGTGAGCATCTCTATCATGGAATAGTGTTTGCAAACTCTGTGGGAGGGAGTTTTGCGATGCCCTAAACATTATTTGAGCAGTTTTAAATTGAATCAAGTCTAGAAGTTTGAGTTGTCCCAAGTCTAAAAATAATGGGTGTGAATGATATCTATAGTGAACATTTGATACAATCCTAATAGCCTTCTTTTGCAAAGTGACTAAAGGTTGTAAGTGAGACTTGTAACAGTTTCCCCAAACTTCAATACAATAAAATAAATATGACATAATGAATGAATGATACAACAGGAGTAGGGCATTTGTGTTCAGTAGCGGACTCGCTCGCTTCATCATTCCGACACATTTAGCAACCTTTGTTCTCAGGTAACTTATGTGGGGTTTCCAATTGGTTTTTTCATCTATTATAACTCCTAAGAAGGCATTTTGTTTGACTTTCTCAATTGGTGTATCATCAATTATTATTCTGACTGGAATATTACTATTACGGTTGCCAAAGAGCATAATTTTGGTCTTGTTTAAATTTAGTGATAATTTATTACTATTGAACCATGTTTTTATTTTGTTCAATTCCACAGTTACTGTAGACAAAAGTTGCTCCAAATCGTCACCTGGACATATAATAGTTGTGTCATCAGCAAAGAGAATGAATTTCATCAACTTTGATATTTTGCATATTTCATTAATGTACAATATAAATAAAGTGGGTCCCAATATTGAACCTTGTGGTACTCCACAGGTTATGTTCCTATAACTCGATTTGTGTTGGTCGATCTGGACAATCTGCTGTCTCTCTCTCAGGTAGCTCTGCAACCATTTATTTGCCAATCCCCTGATACCATAGGCCTCCAGTTTGTTAATCAAGATATCATGATCGATGGTATCGAACGCCTTTTGAAGATCAATGAAAATTCCGATTACAAATTTATTTTTTTCAATTCCATTTGTTATCTCCTCAACTAAGTCAATAAGAGCAAGTGATGTAGATCTATTTCGCCTAAACCCATACTGACTATCAGACAATAAATTATGTCAATAAATTATGTCTTTCAATAAACCCACGGAGTCTTGTATCAAATAATTTTTCTAATATTTTGGAAAACTGAGGCAGAAGGGAGATTGGCCGATATTTGGTGAAGCTGTGTTTGTTTCCGGATTTGAATATGGGGATTACTTTTGCAGTTTTCATTTGTGATGGAAAGTCACCAAGCTGGAAAGATAAGTTACAAATGTGTGTAAATGGTTCAACAATTTCTTCAGCAACACTGCGTACTGTTTTCATGTCAATGTCGTTTATGTCTTGTGATGTTTTGTTTTTGCATTTTCTGATCAAATTCAGAACTTCCTTCTCGTTTCATGTGTATGAACTGTGCAATACAAAGAAACTACTAACCTAGACGCAATGACAAACAACATTTGCTCCCAAACTTACATGTAAAAGTTCTGCCCAGTGTAAAAAGCAGGAGTATTTGTGTTGGCAGAGTTGACGTCGATGTACAGAGGACTTTCACATATTTCTCCTGGATTCTCTTTTCTCAAGTTGTTAAGAATCTCCCAGTCTCCGATGCCATTGGGGCTGTCGCGGTCATACCACTGAGTCCAGCACACTGACAGAGGACACAAGAAGACGTTTTTTAACAATCATAACAAAGGTGCAAACGTATGAGATGACAGCTAGCATCTACTGTACCTTTTTGTTTGCAGAATTCCTCAGGACACATAAAGCGAACTTTGTAATCATGGCATTTGCAGCCTTTCTGATCTTCATTCAAACAAACAAATCCATACACAGGGTTGTATCTGCAGAATAAAAAGGACACAAGTATAAACAATGCATTCATGTGACTTGAATTATTTTTAAGTAAATAAAAAATACTAACTGTGCAATGACATTTTCAACTGAATCTGGGCTTCTCTCAGTTGTCGTCTCCGCTTCAATCCAAATTGGCTCACCGCAGATCTTCCCAGGATTTTCAACATAGAGATTCTCAAGAGTTTCCCAGTCTCCGGTGTCAGTTGGATCATCTCTGTCAAACCACTCAGTCCAACAACCTTCACAAACAAAAAAACAAGAACAAAAATAAGATTCAGACATTGTTTTCCGAAGCTCACTCAAACTTGAAAAAACAAATGACCCTCACCAGTGTCAGCAGGGATGTCTTCTTCACAGCTCTCGACACTTCCGCTGCAGTGGTGGCTTCCTTCTCTGCTACTGCTGCTGCCTTCAACACTATTGGTGTCCACATCATTGTCGTTGCTGTCTTCACTGCTAACCATGCGGCCATTAGAGTTTCCATGGTTGTTGTTCCATTGGTTACTTCTGTTTTCGTCGCTGTTGTTTCCTTCGTTACCGCTGCTTGCGTCGCTGTTGTTTTCTTGGCTACCGCTGTTTTTGTCGCTGTTGTTTCCTTGATTATCGCTGTTTTCGTCACTGTTACTTTCTTGACTACCACTGTTATCAAAACTAGGGCATTTGCTCTTTAACGTTCCTTGAACTCCACTGTTGCCGTCACCATTGTTTCCAGTATTTCCACTGTTTTCATCGCTACACCCTTCCTCTTGTTCCTCACTACTCCCACTGTTGTTTCCTTGGTCACCGCTGCTTTCGTCGCTGTTGTTTCCTTGGTTACCGCTGTTTTTGTCGCTGTTGTTTCCTTGGTTATAGCGGCTTTCGTTGCTGTTGTTTCCTTGGTTACCGCTGTTTTTGTCGCTGTTGTTTCCTTGGTCACCGCTGCTTTCGTCGCTGTTGTTTCCTTGGTCACCGCTGCTTTCGTCGCTGTTGTTTCCTTGGTTATTGCGGCTTTCGTTGCTGTTGTTTCCTTGGTTACCACTGTTTATGTCACTGTTGTTTCCTTGATTATCGCTGTTTTCGTTACTTTTACTTTCTTGACTACCACTGTTATCAAAACTAGGGCATTTGCTCTTTAACGTTCCTTGAACCCCACTGTTGCCGTTACCATTGTTTCCTGTATTCCCACTCTTTTCATCGCTACACACTTCCTCTTGTTCCTCACTACTCCCACTGTTGTTTCCTTGGTCACCGCTGCTTTTGTCGCTGTTGTTTCCTTGGTTACCGCTGTTTTCATCACCGTTGTTTCCTTGGTTATTGCTGCTTTCGTCGCTGTTGTTTCCTTGGCTACCGCTGTTTTTGTCGCTGTTGTTTCCTTTGTTACCGCTGCTTTCGTCGCTGTTGTTTCCTTGGTCACCGCTGCTTTCGTCGCTGTTGTTTGCTTGGTCACCGCTGCTTTCGTCGCTGTTGTTTCCTTGGTTATTGCTGCTTTCGTTGCTGTTGTTTCCTTGGTTACCACTGTTTATGTCACTGTTGTTTCCTTGATTATCGCTGTTTTCGTTACTTTTACTTTCTTGACTACCACTGTTATCAAAACTAGGGCATTTGCTCTTTAACGCTCCTTGAACTCCACTGTTGCCGTTACTATTGTTTCCTGTATTCCCACTCTTTTCATCGCTACACACTTCCTCTTGTTCCTCACTACTCCCACTGTTGTTTCCTTGGTCACCGCTGTTTTTGTTGCTGTTGTTTCCTTGGTTACCGCTGTTTTCGTCGCTGTTGTTTCCTTGGTTAACGCTGTTTTTGTCACGGTTACTTTCTTGACTACCACTGTTTTCAAAACTAGGGCATTTGCTCTTTAACGTTCCTTGAACTCCACTATTGCCGTTACCATTGTTTCCAGTATTTCCACTGTTTTCATCGCTACACCCTTCCTCTTGTTCCTCACGGCTCCCACTGTTGTTTCCTTGGTTACCGCTGTTTTCGTCGCTGTTGTTTCCTTGGTTACCGCTGTTTTCGTCGCTGTTGTTTCCTTGGTCAACGCTGCTTTCGTCACTGTTGTTTCCTTGGTTACCGCTGCTTTCATTGCTGTTATTTTCTTCATTGCTGTTGCTCATGTTTCCTTTTTCACCACTTGCTTTTTCACCGCTTCCTTTTTCACCACTTCCTTTTTCATCGCTTCCTTTTTCACTGCTTCCTTTTTCACCACTTCCTTTTTCACCGCTTCCTTTTTCACCACTTCCTTTTTCACCGCTTCCTTTTTCACCGCTTCCTTTTTCACCGCTTCCTTTTTCACCGCTTCCTTTTTCACCGCTTCCTTTTTCACTGCTTCCTTTTTCACTGCTTCCTTTTTCACCACTTCCTTTTTCATTGCTCATGTTTCCTTTTTCACCACTTCCTTTTTCATCGCTTCCTTTTTCACCACTTCCTTTTTCATTGCTCTTGTTTCCTTTTTCACCGCTTCCTTTTTCACCACTTCCTTTTTCACTGCTACCTTTTTCATTGCTCTTGTTTCCTTTTTCTCCACTTCCTTTTTCTCCACTTCCTTTTTCACCACTTCCTTTTTCACCGCTTCCTTTTTTACCGCTTCCTTTTTCACTGCTTCCTTTTTCACGGCTTCCTTTTTCACTGCTTCCTTTTTCACTGCTTCCTTTTTCACCACTTCCTTTTTCACCGCTACCTTTTTCATTGCTCTTGTTTCCTTTTTAACCGCTTCCTTTTTCACCACTTCCTTTTTCATTGCTTTTGTTTTCTTTTTCACCGCTTCCTTTTTCACCACTTCCTTTTTCACTGCTTCCTTTTTCACCGCTTCCTTTTTCACCGCTTCCTTTTTCACTGCTACCTTTTTCATTGTTCTTGTTTCCTTTTTCTCCACTTCCTTTTTCTCCACTTCCTTTTTCTCCACTTCCTTTTTCACCACTTCCTTTTTTACCACTTCCTTTTTCACTGCTTCCTTTTTCACCGCTTCCTTTTTCACCGCTTCCTTTTTCACCACTTCCTTTTTCACTGCTTCTTTTATCACTGCTTCCTTTTCACCACTTCCTTTATCACTGATTCCTTTTTCACCACTTCCTTTTTCACTGCTTCCTTTTTCATTGCTCTTGTTTCCTTTTTCACCACTTCCTTTTTCATCGCTTCCTTTTTCACCACTTCCTTTTTCATTGCTCTTGTTTCCTTTTTCACCGCTTCCTTTTTCACCACTTCCTTTTTCACTGCTTCCTTTTTCATCGCTTCCTTTTTCACCACTTCCTTTTTCACCGCTACCTTTTTCATTGCTCTTGTTTCCTTTTTCTCCACTTTCTTTTTCACCACTTTCTTTTTCACCACTTCCTTTTTCACTGCTCTTGTTTCCTTTTTCTCCACTTTCTTTTTCACCACTTCCTTTTTCACTGCTTCCTTTTTCACCGCTTCCTTTTTCACCGCTTCCTTTTTCACTGCTTCCTTTTTCACTGCTTCCTTTTTCACTGCTTCCTTTTTCACCACTTCCTTTATCACTGATTCCTTTTTCTCCACTTCCTTTTTCACCGCTTCCTTTTTCACCGCTTCCTTTTTCACTGCTTCCTTTTTCACCACTTCCTTTATCACTGATTCCTTTTTCACTGCTTCCTTTTTCATTGCTTCCTTTTTCACTGCTTCCTTTTTCACCACTTCCTTTTTCACTGCTTCCTTTTTCACCACTTCCTTTTTCACCACTTCCTTTTTCACCGCTTCCTTTTTCACCGCTTCCTTTTTCACCGCCTCCTTTTTTCACCGCTTCCTTTTTCACCGCTTCCTTTTTCACCACTTCCTTTTTCACTGCTTCCTTTTTCACCACTTCCTTTTTCACCGCTACCTTTTTCATTGCTCTTGTTTCCTTTTTCTCCACTTTCTTTTTCTCCACTTTCTTTTTCACCACTTTCTTTTTCACCACTTCCTTTTTCACTGCTCTTGTTTCCTTTTTCTCCACTTTCTTTTTCACCACTTCCTTTTTCACTGCTTCCTTTTTCACCGCTTCCTTTTTCACCGCTTCCTTTTTCACTGCTTCCTTTTTCACTGCTTCCTTTTTCACTGCTTCCTTTTTCACCACTTCCTTTATCACTGATTCCTTTTTCTCCACTTCCTTTTTCACCGCTTCCTTTTTCACTGCTTCCTTTTTCAAAACTTCCTTTATCACTGATTCCTTTTTCACTGCTTCCTTTTTCATTGCTTCCTTTTTCACTGCTTCCTTTTTCACCACTTCCTTTTTCACTGCTTCCTTTTTCACCACTTCCTTTTTCACCACTTCCTTTTTCACCGCTTCCTTTTTCACCGCTTCCTTTTTCACCGCTTCCTTTTTCACCGCTTCCTTTTTCACCGCTTCCTTTTTCACCACTTCCTTTTTCACTGCTTCCTTTTTCTCCACTTCCTTTTTCACCACTTCCTTTTTCACCACTTCCTTTATCACCACTTCCTTTTTCACCGCTTCCTTTTTCACCGCTTCCTTTTTCACCACTTCCTTTTTCACTGCTTCCTTTTTCACCGCTTCCTTTTTCACCAGGTCCTTTTTCACCGCTTCCTTTTTCATTGCTCTTGTTTCCTTTTTTACTGCTTCCTTTTTCACTGCTTCCTTTTTCACCACTTCCTTTTTCACCGCTTTTTTTTTCACCGCTTTTTTTATCACCGCTTTTTTTTCACCACTTCCTTTTCCACTGCTTCCTTTTTCACTGCTTCCTTTTTCACCACTTCCTTTTTCACCGCTTTCTTTTTGATTGCTCTTGTATCCTTTTTCACCACTTCCTTTTTCACCACTTCCTTTTTCACCGCTTCCTTTTTCATTGCTCTTGTTTCCTTTTTCTCCACTTCCTTTTTCACTGCTTCCTTTTTCACCGCTTCCTTTTTCATTGCTCTTGTTTCCTTTTTCTCCACTTCCTTTTTCACCGCTTCCTTTTTCACTGCTTCCTTTTTCACTGCTTCCTTTTTCACTATTTCCTTTTTCACTGCTTCCTTTTTCACTGCTTCCTTTTTCATTGCTCTTGTTTCCTTTTTTTCCACTTCCTTTTTCACCACTTCCTATTTCACCGCTTCCTTTTTCATTGCTCTTGTTTCCTTTTTCTCAACTTCCTTTTTCTCCACTTCCTTTTTCACCACTTCCTTTTTCACTGCTTCCTTTTTCACCGCTTCCTTTTTCATTGCTCTTGTTTCCTTTTTCTCCACTTCCTTTTTCACCGTTTCCTTTTTCACTGCTTCCTTTTTCACTGCTTCCTTTTTCACCGCTTCCTTTTTCACCGTTTCCTTTTTCACTGCTTCCTTTTTCACCGCTTCCTTTTTCACCGCTTCCTTTTTCACCGCTTCCTTTTTCACCGCTTCATTTTTCACCACTTCCTTTTTCACTGCTTCCTTTTTCTCCACTTCCTTTTTCACCACTTCCTTTTTCACCACTTCCTTTATCACCACTTCCTTTTTCACCGCTTCCTTTTTCACCGCTTCCTTTTTCACCACTTCCTTTTTCACTGCTTCCTTTTTCACCGCTTCCTTTTTCACCAGGTCCTTTTTCACCGCTTCCTTTTTCATTGCTCTTGTTTCCTTTTTTACTGCTTCCTTTTTCACTGCTTCCTTTTTCACCACTTCCTTTTTCACCGCTTTTTTTTTTCACCGCTTTTTTTATCACCGCTTTTTTTTTCACCACTTCCTTTTCCACTGCTTCCTTTTTCACTGCTTCCTTTTTCACCACTTCCTTTTTCACCGCTTCCTTTTTCATTGCTCTTGTTTCCTTTTTCACCACTTCCTTTTTCACCACTTCCTTTTTCACCGCTTCCTTTTTCATTGCTCTTGTTTCCTTTTTCTCCACTTCCTTTTTCACTGCTTCCTTTTTCACCGCTTCCTTTTTCATTGCTCTTGTTTCCTTTTTCTCCACTTCCTTTTTCACCGCTTCCTTTTTCACTGCTTCCTTTTTCACTATTTCCTTTTTCACTGCTTCCTTTTTCACTGCTTCCTTTTTCATTGCTCTTGTTTCCTTTTTTTCCACTTCCTTTTTCACCACTTCCTTTTTCACCGCTTCCTTTTTCATTGCTCTTGTTTCCTTTTTCTCCACTTCCTTTTTCTCCACTTCCTTTTTCACCACTTCCTTTTTCACTGCTTCCTTTTTCACCGCTTCCTTTTTCATTGCTCTTGTTTCCTTTTTCTCCACTTCCTTTTTCACCGTTTCCTTTTTCACTGCTTCCTTTTTCACTGCTTCCTTTTTCACCGCTTCCTTTTTCACCGTTTCCTTTTTCACTGCTTCCTTTTTCACCGCTTCCTTTTTCACCGCTTCCTTTTTCACCGCTTCCTTTTTCACCGCTTCCTTTTTCACCGCTTCCTTTTTCACCACTTCCTTTTTCACTGCTTCCTTTTTCTCCACTTCCTTTTTCACCACTTCCTTTTTCACCACTTCCTTTATCACCACTTCCTTTTTCACCGCTTCCTTTTTCACCGCTTCCTTTTTCACCACTTCCTTTTTCACTGCTTCCTTTTTCACCGCTTCCTTTTTCACCAGGTCCTTTTTCACCGCTTCCTTTTTCATTGCTCTTGTTTCCTTTTTTACTGCTTCCTTTTTCACTGCTTCCTTTTTCACCACTTCCTTTTTCACCGCTTTTTTTTTCACCGCTTTTTTTATCACCGCTTTTTTTTTCACCACTTCCTTTTCCACTGCTTCCTTTTTCACTGCTTCCTTTTTCACCACTTCCTTTTTCACCGCTTCCTTTTTCATTGCTCTTGTTTCCTTTTTCACCACTTCCTTTTTCACCACTTCCTTTTTCACCACTTCCTTTTTCACCGCTTCCTTTTTCATTGCTCTTGTTTCCTTTTTCTCCACTTCTTTTTCACTGCTTCCTTTTTCACCGCTTCCTTTTTCATTGCTCTTGTTTCCTTTTTCTCCACTTCCTTTTTCACCGCTTCCTTTTTCACTGCTTCCTTTTTCAATATTTCCTTTTTCACTGCTTCCTTTTTCACTGCTTCCTTTTTCATTGCTCTTGTTTCCTTTTTTTCCACTTCCTTTTTCACCACTTCCTTTTCACTGCTTCCTTTTTCATTGCTCTTGTTTCCTTTTTCTCCACTTCCTTTTTCTCCACTTCCTTTTTCACCACTTCCTTTTTCACTGCTTCCTTTTTCACCGCTTCCTTTTTCATTGCTCTTGTTTCCTTTTTCTCCACTTCCTTTTTCACCGTTTCCTTTTTCACTGCTTCCTTTTTCACTGCTTCCTTTTTCACCGCTTCCTTTTTCACCGTTTCCTTTTTCACTGCTTCCTTTTTCACCGCTTCCTTTTTCACCGCTTCCTTTTTCACCGCTTCCTTTTTCACCGCTTCATTTTTCACCACTTCCTTTTTCACTGCTTCCTTTTTCTCCACTTCCTTTTTCACCACTTCCTTTTTCACCACTTCCTTTTTCACCGCTTCCTTTTTCACCGCTTCCTTTTTCACCACTTCCTTTTTCACTGCTTCCTTTTTCACGCTTCCTTTTTCACCGGTCCTTTTTCACCAGGTCCTTTTCCGCTTCCTTTTTCATTGCTCTTGTTTCCTTTTTTACTGCTTCCTTTTTCACTGCTTCCTTTTTCACCACTTCCTTTTTCACCGCTTTTTTTTTCACCGCTTTTTTATCACCGCTTTTTTTTTCACCACTTCCTTTTCCACTGCTTCCTTTTTCACTGCTTCCTTTTTCACCACTTCCTTTTTCACCGCTTCCTTTTTGATTGCTCTTGTTTCCTTTTTCACCACTTCCTTTTTCACCGCTTCCTTTTTCACCGCTTCCTTTTTCATTGCTCTTGTTTCCTTTTTCTCCACTTCCTTTTTCACCACTTCCTTTTTCACTGCTTCCTTTTTCACCGCTTCCTTTTTCATTGCTCTTGTTTCCTTTTTCTCCACTTCCTTTTTCACCGCTTCCTTTTTCACTGCTTCCTTTTTCACTATTTCCTTTTTCACTGCTTCCTTTTTCACTGCTTCCTTTTTCATTGCTCTTGTTTCCTTTTTTTCCACTTCCTTTTTCACCACTTCCTTTTTCACCGCTTCCTTTTTCATTGCTCTTGTTTCCTTTTTCTCCACTTCCTTTTTCTCCACTTCCTTTTTCACCACTTCCTTTTTCACTGCTTCCTTTTTCACCGCTTCCTTTTTCATTGCTCTTGTTTCCTTTTTCTCCACTTCCTTTTTCACCGTTTCCTTTTTCACTGCTTCCTTTTTCACTGCTTCCTTTTTCACCGCTTCCTTTTTCACCGCTTCCTTTTTCACTGCTTCCTTTTTCATTGCTCTTGTTTCCTTTCTCTCCACTTCCTTTTTCACCACTTCCTTTTTCACCGCTTCCTTTTTCATTGCTCTTGTTTCCTTTTTCTCCACTTCCTTTTTCACCGCTTCCTTTTTCACTGCTTCCTTTTTCTCTGCTTCCTTTTTCACCGCTTCCTTTTTCACCGCTTCCTTTTTCACTGCTTCCTTTTTCACCGCTTCCTTGTTCACTGCTTCCTTTTTCACCGCTTCCTTTTTCACTGCTTTCTTTTTCATTGCTCTTGTTTCCTTTTTCACTACTTCCTTTTTCACCGCTTCCTTTTTCACCACTTCCTTTTTCACTGCTTCCTTTTTTACCGCTTCCTTTTTCACCACTTCCCTTTTCACTGCTTACTTTTTCTCCACTTCCTTTTTCACTACTTCCTTTTTCACTGCTTCCTTTTTCACCACTTCCTTTTTCACCACTTCCTTTTTCACCACTGCCTTTTTCACCACTCTTGCTTCCTTTTTCATCACTTTTTTTTCCACCACTTCCTTTTTCACCTCTTACTATTTCCCTGATGTTTTCCTCACTGTTACTCTCTTGGTTACCATTTTGTTGGCCACTGTTTTCGTCGGCGTCATGATCCTGTTCAAACCTGTTGTTGTCGCCACCCTTCCTTGGTTTCTCAGTTCCACTGCTGCCCCCTGCTGGAGAAAAAGATAAGACCATTTTTATTTTTATTTTTATTGAACACTTCATCACATGTTTATGAATCTGCCAATAATGGGAAAAATACATGAACATTTTGCAGACTAACAACTTGCCAGCTTTCAATAACTGACCAATTCATTGCATATGAAGCAGTCTGGTTTCAGACCCAGGCAAAGTCTCAATCTTAATCCTGTTTGGTCTGAGCGCTGCTTTTCACACTGTCAACCATGAGATCCTAAACGAGATTAGAGGACCGGGTTTGTGTCGCTGGCATCGCCCTAAGTTGGTTTAAGACTTTTCTAGAACACAGGAAGTACGTCACTGGGAATTGTGTCTGACCTGTGGCCCTGACCTGTGGAGTACCACAGGGGTCGATCCTGGGACCTCTCCTATTCAATCTCTACATGCTGCCTTTAGGTCAGTTAATATGCAATAACAATGTGTCCTTAACAACGACACAGACAATTCTCAGATCTACGTCTCGCTGAGAAAGGAGGACATGGACCAGTGGACTCACTGAGACAGGAGGACATGGACCGGTGGACTCACTGAGACAGGAGAATATGGACCAGTGGACTCACTGAGACAGGAGAACATGGACCAGTGGACTCACTGAGACAGGAGAACATGGACCAGTGGACTCACTGAGACAGGAGAACATGGACCAGTGGACTCACTGAGACAGGAGAACATCGACCAGTGGACTCACTGAGACAGGAGAACATCGACCAGTGGACTCACTGAGACAGAAGAACATGGACCAGTGGACTCACTTAGACAGGAGAAAATCCGGTCAGAAATCCAAGATTAATAATGAACTCAACAGCCACATCAAATCAGCATCATCAGCAGCTTTTTACCATATAAAAACATAGTGTCTAAGTCAGACTTGGAGATTCTCATCCTGCTTTTGTCTCCAGTGAGTTAGAGTGCTGTGACAGCTGTTCGATGGTCTCCAAACAAGTACTAAAACAGCTGCAGTATATTAAAATCTCTGCAACTTGAGTTCGGACTAGAACCAGAAAGAACCATCACATTAGTCCAGGTCTCAGGTCTCTGCACCTGTGGCTCAGAGAATAGACTTTAGAGCAGCTCTGTTTGTTACACGTCTCTCTATGGCCTCGCTGGGATTATTCATGGTTTCGATTGGTGATATGAATGTTTATTTTATGAAGCTGTTTGTGTTACTTTCTGTACGAAAACCGATCTATGAATAAGGATTGCTTGATTTATTTGCTTTTTCTAAGATCTTGGAGCAACAAATCAAGTGGCGCAAACCTATCCAGAACTTTGAAAACGGTATTGTTTGCAAAATATACTATATAAATAAATTGTATTGGATAAAAACAACTTACAATTTCAAACCAATAAATTACTTTGACTCATTCCATGCCAAGCCTTAGCATTTTATAATTTTATGAGATTTTTTTATTTGGAGTTTTTACAAGGTGTTAATTATCAACATACATAAGGTCATGTTTTACTTTGTGCGTCACAAGTCTGGATTTTATTTTTTAACAATAAGATGAAGAGATCCTTTATGCGTCCCACAGTGGGGAAATTTCAGTGTTGCATCACCGGTTACAGTAGGAATGAGGAGCACGCAGCACAAGACAAATGAACTACACAATCGCCAACTTTAGCATAATGTAGAAGTGAAACTATTTAGCGCAAAAAAGAAACAAATATAAAATACTGCATATTCAAGCGCAAGGAATATATATTTGTGGGTCTGGGACACAGTGACTTAGTAAAGGGACACTGGACACATGGTAAATTTAAGTTTTTTTTAGAAGTTTTACATATTTATCTACAAACGCATGCATCAGATCAAACATTTTCATTGCCATTGTAAGTCACAGGAAGTCATGAACGAGGGTTTTGCTTTGGCTCATGGTGCAAACATGTCATATAAGTGAAAATTAGACACACAATAGATAGATTATATTTAACAGTGCAGGTAAAAGCGACAGAATTCTACACAAGTCTATTTCTTTAACTATACAGGCTTATACCTTACATATTTATACTTTTTATACTTTGCTTCTTTATTGACCAAAAGACATATATTTTATTAACTTATTCTTCTTAATATAGTGCTGTGCGAACCAAAATTAACTGAACTTCACAGCGCTTTACTATTGCTGTGGGCCTTTGTCTCTCACTCCACACAGAGATGGGAGCAACATGTTTTTAGTGGTAGGGATAAACCGGAGCACCCAGAGGAAACCTACATAGACACGGGGGAGAACATGCAAACTCCACTCAGAACGGTCCTGTTTCGAACCTGGGACTTTCTTGCTACAAAGCAAGATCGCTAACCACTCAGCCTGTCTACAAGACCAACATAAACAACCATTTATCTGTAGTAACTGAAAAAGTAACTCACCCATGAGCAGGAAGGCGACTGCAACCAACGGCAGCTGTTTGAAAAAAATCATAACAATCGATTATAATTTGCTTTTAAAAATCAAAATCAGTCAATGTGGTGTCGTGTCTTACCCAGTACGGCATCGTTGTAGCTGTCTGTGGAGCGAGCTGTCACCTTTTCCGCACTGAGTTTAAAACTGCTCATAAAATATAACAACTAATAATAATCTGTTGCAAACTTTAAATGAGTTTAATGAGTCACTCCGCAGACGCCTGAGCAGAGCCAAAAGAAATGACAAGAGTCGTTAGCCACTTATCGAAGTCTGATCGGCACCGAGGGAGAATATGTTTTATACTTTTGGTTAATGACAGATAATGAGATCAAAGTGTGAGCGGCGCCATTTACTTTTGTCTACAGGTGAGTAACCATTTGTCTGTGTATAACTTAACCTACGTACTTACAGTAAGATCCCTCCTCTTTGATTACGGCTCTCGATTATGCAGTCGTTAAGATGTTATTGTTGCTTAAAGTGGCAGATTAGCTAAATCAATTTGACCTATTCTAAAAGCCGGCTGTTGTTCACCATACAGAAAATGGATAACAATAAGTTATTTCAAAAAAGGCTTGGGTTTCACAACGTAATGGGAGTAAAAATGGGACACCTTTATTGTTATTTAACACATGAAAGAACCCACAACACACACAAAAACATTACAAAACAGAACATACATAAGTAATATATAAAACTATTACAAAACATACAAATACCTACAATTCTTTCTTTTCTTACTTTATTTTCCTGATCACTGTTTTCATTATCATCGTTATTGTTTTTATATAATTATTCATATTTTTAAAATTTCTACAACTGTATATAGATGGACAATGCTAAGATGCTAGCTAGCTCAATGAAGACTAATACAGAATGGCTCTTATTGACTTTTACATTGAAAAGTAAACTCCTCTGGATCAGCATGTCTATATGTACGTGTATATTTAATAGTTACCTAATGTAACTTAAGTTCTACGAATGGGTGCGTAGTCCCTTAGCGGACTTCGCTAGTGGGATATCACGTGACCCCCAGGTCACACGCCAGAGAGATCAAAATAATTTGCTCCAATCACTAGCGACCCTCCTCTATAAAGGCCCCTGCACAAGGCCGCACCCCCTCTTGAACTCTGCCAAGCCGGGCTGGCCTGATGGGCTCGTAGCTAAGGGACTACGCACCCATTCGTAGAACTTAAGTTTCATTAGGTAACTATTAATTCTACGTCATGGTGCTACGTCCCTTAGCGGACTTCGCTAGTGGGACACAACGCGGAGGCCGTAGGAACATGTACTCCCAGCAGGCCAGCGAAGAGTGATTGGAGCCCCGTCCGAGCAACCCTCACACAGTGAGAAGACTCAGGACAGAAACCAAATCCAAGCGTGTTACGGGGCCGCTCCTCCCAAGGACACCCCCAAGTAACACCGACCGAAAGTCACCCGTAGTCCCAGGACGCCTCTCCCAAGAGCTCCTGACGTGGACCACCCAACTGACCAACACCCCTAACACCGCACCTACAGGACGCCTCTCCCAAGAGCTCCTGAACTAGGGCGGAAGGGCAAACCGTAATCTCTTAGACGAAGAACCCAGGATTCCAATCAGTCCGCTGCACCAAGCACGGAATGGGCCACCGACCGGTCCGACACATCCAACAGGTAAGACCGGACAAAGGAAGAGGACGAAGCCCGAGAAGCCGCACGGCAAACGTCCTCCACCGAAGCACCCCTGAGGAGGGCCGTAGAAGCCGCCACTCCACACGTGGAATGCGCCCTAAAACCCACCGGGGGCGTCAGGCCCTGAGCTTGATACGCCATCCGTACAGCCGAAGCGACCCAGTGTGCCAGACGTTGAGACGACAGCGGGGCGCCTCTGTTCTTGGGGCCCAGACACACAAACAGCTGATCCACCAGTCTGAAGGAAGATGTCAAGGTCAGGTAACGCCTAAGCATTCTGACAGGGTACAGCAGGTGCCGTCGCTCCTCCTCGGGGGAGGAGTGCGGCGGCGGATGGAAAGCCCTAATCCTGATCACTCTCGACCTGAAGGCCGAAGTAATGACCTTAAGGAGAAAGGCCGGATTGGGCCACAACTCTACCAGCCCGTCCCCTTCTCCAAAGGACAGATAAGACGCATGTATGGAGAGCGCACACAAATCGCCCGCCCTCT